GGAAGCACCGCCTCTGCGGGTCGTAGTATCACATCTGACATCAGACCCCCGGCCTCTCACCACCTGCTCCCCAGAGACCCTGCCCGAGGCTCCCACCCAGCCTGGCTCCCTTGGGGGATAGGGCTAATGGGGGATCCACCCCACTTAGTGTCCAGGGCCAGTTTCGCGGTGCCGGCGCCTGTGGACACCCTCCTCTGGAAGGCACTGTGCCTCTGGTCTTGAGGTCGGGAAAGCTCTTCCCTAATTCCCAGGCCCCAGTTCCGGTCAGGGCCCTTCCCGTGGATTTCCACATTGAGTGAACCATCTGCAGTCCCTTCTGGTTCTTCCTGGTTCCAGAAGGTTTCACCACTTGGCTCCAACACCCTTGTTGTACAGAGTGGCCAGGACATGTGTCAGAGCTGGTCACAGGTGTCCCGGGCACTGAGCTGTCTCTGCGTGCTTGTGAGCAGCCAGCGCTCCTGCCTGTGCGTCCATCTTCCCCGCTGTGCATTCCTGTCCTGTGCTTTCGGGCCATGTGTGTGGGATCTGAGGGTTCTCCCTAAGGCCTGCTGAGGTGGTCTGGCTACTTGGCCAAGCCAGAGTGTCTGGATGGCCCTGCAAGGCAGGCTCAGCCAGGCAGGAAAGCAGGAGGGCAGCGCTGACCCACTGGGTCGCCAGTAGCCGCTGAGGGCAGGACTCAGGTGGACCCAAGTTCACGCCCTGCCTCCTCCCCGGCTGCCCCGCTGGGACTGGGATGGACCCTTCAGCTGTGGGAAGCTCCAGTCCCTTCTCCCTACAAAAGGATCCAGTTATAACCTCCAAGGGAGTCCTTGGGGCTAGAGGTGGGTGCAGGGCAGGCATGGGGCCAGGGTGCCTGGAAGGGCGGCCTCCCCGGGATGCTGGGCCTCTCCCCCATGCTGCCCTGGCCCCTGGGACTGGTGAGGGTCAGTCCTTCAGACCTGCCAATGGAATGCGCAGAACTGGTCCCTATTGAAGGTCAGATAGGGATGCAGTTCCCGGTGAAAAGGGATCCAGAAGCATCCGAAAGCCTCAGCCATCCAGCATTTGTTCACGTTCCTCACGCAAACCCCAGGCTGCTCCCAGAAGGTCGTGAGGCACCAAGTAAAATCATCCCTCATGTCTGTCTCCTACAAACGGAGGTAATAATAGCACCACGTCACAGGGCTGTTCCAGGGGGAACGTGCCTAAAACGAGCTCAGAGCCGTGCTCAGCTGCCATGAGCTCCAGAAGAATCCCTGTTCCTGCGATTGTTTTAGTCAGCACGGGCTCACAGGCACAAGGCAGTCAAGGTGGAGATGTGAGGAGAAACAGGGACTCTCGTAGAGCAGAGGCAGAGCCTGGGACGGGGCTTGGAGCTCCTTGGCTTCCACGGCAGAAAGGGAAACACTCTGGGTGGCCCCATACGTGTTATCTGGTAAAGGGTGCAGACTGGTTTTCTGGAAGAGAGACCGTTCCCTGGAAGGGAGGCTGGGAAAATGTATCTTGTGAAGAACCGACTGGGGTGAAAAGGCAGATGCCCCTGGCCCCCTAATGCAGCTCAGAAGGCTCCTGCACTCTTGAGAGCTTCCTGGGAAGATTCAAGTGCCCCCGTGCCTCTTCCTCTCGGAGCTCCCTGCCCAGAAGTTTCCAGTACTGCTGTCGAACTCAGAACCTGACCTCCCGGCTCCGCAGGCTCCCAGTACAGGGCAGGCTCCCAGTACAGGGCAGGCTCGGACCTTCCTTAATCCTACAATCCAAAGTCCTCTCCCTCTGGCCCAACGTCTCCTGATGACGTGAGTGTGCTGTCAGCATCTGGGGCAGCTGCCCATTGCTTGGGCCTTTCAGGACATCACCAGCATCCATGCACCCAGGGCACGAGGAGCACTCCCCACTCCTGGGTGAGAACCGCTCATCAGGGTCTTCGCTTTATTTTGTGAGTGACCTGCCAAGACCCTCAGGGTATGGCAGAGCTGAGTCTCCTAATTCCCACTCCAGCATTCTTCCCACCGCAGTCCCTTCCTGGCATGGCTGCACCTTGAATGCCTCCATCAGCGGGGAGCTCACTACCTCCTGAGTCAGCCCAGGCCACGGTTCTGAAGTCTCAGTGTTAGGAAGCTCTTCTGAGAAATGAGCTGGAACCTGCTTGCCCGTTATTTCTACCTGTCATTCCTGTTCTGCTCCCTTAAAGGCATGCAGAGAAAAGCTGGTTCTAGACCAGAGTTTTTCAGCCTTTGGGGCCGGATGATTCTTTGCTGTGTGTGGGTGTGGCAGGGGAGTAGAAGGGTCCTGTGCATTGTAGGATGTTGAGCAGAATTCCTGGACTTGACCAGCTAGATCCTCTATCCACTCAGTTGTGACAAACAGAAGTTCCTGCAGACATGGCCACATGCGCCCCGGGGAACAAAATTGCCATTCTACAGGAAGGACAGTCAAAGATTTGGGGATCGCTCAGAAGGCTGGATGGGCCGGGCTCCTTCGCCTCCACCCAAAGAAGTCAGCCCTGCTGCCCAGGAGCTCCTCAGCTGAGATCCATGGGACTCCCGACCGTGAGCTTCTCCTTGAGAAAATCAACAACACAGATCCAATTTTCTGCCCCGACGCCAGGAATCCTGGCAGTCATTTCTGAGCTCTGTAGTGGTCCTCTGGGCATCGCCAATGCAGAGGCAAGACTTAGTATCATGGGAATATCTGGATTTGGCGCTTGACATCTTCACTTCTGGAAAAGATGCTGCCTTTGAGGAGGTGGAGAGATCATGACTCTAAACAGAATAATCCTGATGATGGAGAACATGGGCCCATGTTCCTTCAGGCAGGGGAGGGGATTGGGGGGAGGGTTGGGCCAAGCAGAGCATGGAGGTGGGGCATAGGGGCGCTTCTGAAGAAGGGCCTGGAATGGTCAGCGCTCTGCTCACCCCACCCAACTCCGCTGCCCACCAGAAGTTCAGCCACAGTTTGAAAATTCACACCCCTCCCAGGTAATCCTGCAGGAGGCCTGAAGGAATGCGTGCCAGCTGCCTCCCCCAGGGTGCGGGCAGGGGGCGGGCCTGCTTGATTCACATGGTGATAAGGGCCAGGGCTTCCCTGGTGGCTCAGTGGTTAAGAATCCGCCTGCCAATACGGAGGACACGGGTTTGAGCCCTGGTCCGGGAAGATCCCACATGCCGCGGAGCAACTAAGCCCGTGTGCCACAACTACTGAGGCTGTGCTCTAGAGCCCGCATGCCACCACTACTGAGCCCGCGTGCCACAACTACTGAAGCCCACGCGCCTAGAGCCCGTGCTCCGCAACAAGAGAAGCCACCGCAATGAGAAGCCCGCGCACCGCACCCAAGAGTAGCCCCCGCTCACCACAACTAGAGAAAGCCCGCGCGCAGCAACGAAGACCCAACGCAGCCAAAAACAAATTAAATAAATCTATTTTAAAAAAAATAAAAAATAAGGGCCAAAGACACTGGGATTCGGACGCCGGCACAGTGCGGCCCTGCAGCCTGATGGGTGGGCCACTGAGCAGGCCCGGCCCTGTGGCGGAGCACAGATCAGCGGGCAGGAGCCACAGCACATAAATCCCCTTGTTTGTGCAGCTCTGCGCACCCCCGGGGGCCGTTGCCAGCCCATAATGGTTATCTATGCCTTAGGAATAACGAGGTAATGGAGCGGTGTGCACATGGTGGCTTACAGCTTACAGATGCCCCCTCTAAGCGCTCTGATCATCGGAGCGCTGGGGCCCCATCAATCCGGGAGAAATCACCCGGCCAGCTGAGCACGCGCCGCCGTCCCTTGTGGGCGGATGAGACAGGCGCTGGCCCTGCCAAGGCCTGTTTGCCCCACTCCCTGTGGGGAAGGAGAAGGCTGGGCTGCCCAGCTCACGGGTGCGCGAGGCTCAGGCTGCCTGTGGCCTAGGCCGCACAGCTCCCCGTGACAGCAGCGGCCCAGGGGAGGCCAGGCCAGACGTCTCACTTGACTCCCTGCTGGGTGGTCGTCGGACCAGTGAGGGGGTAGAGCTGGGGCAGGCAGGGTGGACTCTGGCCCCTCCTCGCTGGACTGGCCGAGGGAGGGCGAGGGCTCAGCTTCCTCCCAGGGCTCCATCCTGAAGGGGCGTGGCTAGGCATCCTGTCTGGGGACCCTGTGTTGGAAGCTCGTAGCATCTGTGCCCTTGAGCTCCTGGCCGCCGGAGCAGGTCCTTCAGACAGTGTCGCTCAGGGGATGGCCGTGACCCACGTGTGTCAGACTTGCCCGAGATGCGTCTAAACCAGGCAGACGCTGCATCCACCCTAGGCCTCCTGAATCCTGTCTCTGGGAGGGGCCAGAGCCGGCAGTGCTAACGAGCTCCCGAGGGGACGCATGTTGGCTCGTAAGTGCGAGTCCTGGCTTTAAAGTATTTCCAGCCTGGCCTGCTGCGGGTAGGAGTGAGTGTTGTCCTTAAGGCAGGGCTGTGGGGAGGACAAGTTCGCGGGGTCAGGGAGACGCTTCAGGAGGCGACATCTAGGAGCTCACAGAGCAGGTCTTTCCCAGGCTCGGTGCCTTCGTGGAGGCGTGGCCAGGAGCCCTGCCCCCGTGAGGCTTCCTTCCATCCTCTCCATCTCCGTGGAGCTCCAGTGGAGAAAAATGAGCCGCAGAGAGCATATTAGTTATCCATGGCTTGTAACAAATTACCTCCCAAAGTTAGCACCTAAAGCAACAAATATTTGTCATTTGACTCAGTTTCCGAGGGCCAGGACTCTGGGGGCAGCTTAGCTGGATGGCTGTGGCCCAGCATCTCTCCCGGTCTGCTTGAGCTGCTGTCACAAATCACTGCAGACCAGGGATTTATCAAGAACAAGCAGTTGTTTCTCACGGTTCTGGAGGCTGCATGTCTGAGCTGGGCGCCAGCTGAAGGGCTCTGGTGAGGGCCCTCCCCCCGGTTACAGGTTACAGACAGCCGCCTTCACGTGGGGTTGAGAGCTAGCTCTCCAGCTGTTTCTTTCTTCTTTTTTTTTTTTTTTTTTTTTTTTG